GTGCTGGGGGATTGAACTGTGGTCCCTGTGCTTTGCTAAGCTTGTTCCAAGTAGGTGCTTTAGACCACTGAGCCATCTCAACAGCCCCCTAGGACTGCTTTCCTATGCAGGCAGCAGGGTAAGCAGCAGCAACAGAGCCCCTGTGAGCAACAGGTTAGCTGGACACAGTCACCATTTGGTTTCTTACAAGCTCTTCAGCCTTATCCTCTGCACACCTGTTCCACTGGCTGTTCATGGACTCCTTTAGAACTGGACAAGACCCCAGCCCCTCTCCTCGGGAGAGTGAGCCTGCACAGTACGTAGAAAGGTGTGAGGCTTGCACAGATCCAGGGAGGAGGGCTCCTCAAAGCCAGTCTGTGACTACCCGGGTCAGGGAACACCTTGCTGGAGTTCCAGACCCTGATTTTATGTAAGGGGCACTTAGTTCCTGTTGGTCTTAGTCCTGCAAGGGGTGCCAGCCCAGGGGAAGGAGGTGGAGGCTTACCTGCCGCCGCAGCTCCTGCAGCTCCCGCCGCGCCTCCAGCCTTGAGCGCTCTACCTCCTGCAGCCCCAAGCGCAGATCCCCTGCCTCCTTGCCCACGGCTGCCCGCGCCTCCTCCAGGAGTGTCAGCTTCTGCTCCTTGTCCTCGTTGGCCAGCTTCAAGCTGGAGAAGGCAGAGGTCACACAGCCTGTGGTGACCTCGCCAGGCCCACCTGGCCCGAATGTGTCCCACCTGCTACCTGCCCATAGGGCCCCTCTACCCTCCACCAGGCACTAGGGGGCGATAGCAGCAGATAGGGTCTAAGTCTGGACCCATCTCTGTCTGCAGCCACCTATAATGACCCAGGTGATAGGGCCCAGAGAATCTCCAACTGCGCAGTTTCCTCGGGGCCCTGGACAAGGCCTGGGAAGGAGCCTGGGTCCCCGCACCTGATGCGCTCGCTCTCAGCCCTCCTCACGGCCGCCCGGAGCTCCTCATTGGAGTGCCGCAGAGCCTCACGCTCCTTGGCACCCTCGCTCAGGCTGCGCCGCAGCTCGCCGGCCTCCTGGCGCTGGGCCTCCAGGCTCTCCTGACTGTCGCGCACCTTGCGCTGCGTCTCCAGCAGCTCCCGCCGCAGCCCATCCCGCGCGGCCTCCAGCAGGCGCAGCTGAGTCCGGAGCTCTTCTGCCTGGGAGCCCAGAACAGGGTCAGGGCTCCCACCAAGTGGGAGTTTTGGCAAGATGGGGCCGTGCGCCACGTCATTGGTCAACAGGCAGCAGCCCCATCCTTCTGCGGTGACTTGGACCCCACAGGACACCGGGGCCGTCAGTATTTGGGCCTGACACAGTCATCAGTAGAGATTGTCCAGCATGCTGTGAGCTGTGCGGCACAGGGCGGGCTGACCAACAGCATATGTAGTGCGGCAGAATAATACTCTCAGGATTCCTGAACAACTTTCCTGATACCAGTCTTCTAAGCTGCCGCGTCTGATTCTTCCACACTTTGACTCTAATTAAGAGAATTTACTTCCAACCAGTCCACACTCAAATCTTACTCTTTGTTCAAATATAAATCAATAGTCCCATAATCGCATAATATCTAAAACATACAAAAACAGCTGGCCAGATAGCTCAGCAGATTAAAGCGCCTGCTTAGGTAGATGCACGGACCAGGGTTCGACCCCCCACGTGCCATGCTGGCCCCACCCCCTGGGGCATGTTGAGATGGCAAATAAGACTGGGCATGGTGGCATGTGCCTGTAATCCCAGCACTTGGGACGCTGAAAACAGGAGGATCACTACGAGTCCGAGCTATATAGTGAGACCCTGTAGATGCTGTACGAACCACATAAATAAGTAAACAAACAAAATTACTTTTAAAATTATTTATAACATTGATCATTTGGCCTTTGTAATAATCAACATTAAATATTTTTTCTTTTTTTTT